GCCGCCCCCACCGTGGCACATGAACTCCGTCACGATGTAGATGGGCTCCTCCGATACCACCGCGTACAGCTGCACCAGCTTGTCGTGCCGCAGCTGTTTCATGACCTGCGCCTCCTCCAGGAAGGCCTCGGGGGACATGGTGCCCGGCTTCAGCGTCTTCACCGCCACTTTGGTGCTGCCGTTCCACGTGCCTGCCCAGCGGGGGCTCATCAGGACCTCCCCAGGCCTTCAGCTGCCCCTCACCCCCACCCCCAGCCCTGCTTACCCAGCCACACTTCCCCAAAGCAGCCCGTGCCCAGACGGCGCTCCAGCGCGATGGAGCTGCGGCTGATCTCCCAGGCGTCCTTGGCCAGGCCCAGTGTCTGCGGCCTCGTGGTGGTGCAGGCCGCGGTGAGCAGGTGGCACAACCCGTCATTCACCTCTGGGGGGCAGCGGTGTCACAGGCGGCCCCAACACCACATCCCGCCCCAGGATCTGTGACCGGGAGCCAGAGCCCAGGCTGGGACATGAGGCAGCCTGCCGGCAGAGCGGGGACATGCTGGTGCCCAGGAGGTGGTCCCCAGAGGGAGGGCTAGGAGGTGGCCCCCAGTTGAGCCCTGAAGGATAAGGTGGGACTCTGATAGGTGGAAGTGGGGGGGTTCCAGACATAGCCAATCAGGGGAGACCTTCCATGGACCTGGTCCTGGTCTGACCCAGGAGCGTGGGCCCTGCCAGTGTTGGCAGGCAGGGCCAGTCTGCCTCTCCCTGCTCCAGCAGCACCCCTGCCTGACCATGGCCACCATCGGCCAGGAGACCCTTACTGGCCTGGGCTCCACCCAGCAGCCAGGGTCTCAGCCAACTGTAGAGCAGCCTCTACCACCCCTGCTCAGGCCCATGATGGCAGCTCCTGCCCACCCTCGGGGCAGCAGAGCTGTTCGGGGACTTCCGGAGACCGGGCATGAGGGAGAGCCACACGGTCCCTGCCCGGCGGTTCCACTCGGGGTCCCCGGAGAGGCCCTGCCCTTCACGTCCGTGGCCGGGCCGTCCTCACCGACGTAGTGCTGCACCAGCTCCCGCACCGAGGGGAACTGCGCCCGCGTGGTGATGTAGTAGCCGCCCGTGTCCAGCTTGCGGATCTTGTAATGCTTCACGTGGTCGCCTCTGGCCTGGTCCCAGTCACGGATGGACAGGGAGTAGGCCCCTGTGGGGGTGTCACTTTGGGTCTGTGGCTCTCTCCCCCTGTGAGGCCAAAGGGGCTGGCCCCTCAGGCCCTGGCCCAGCCTTAGCTGTCTGGGCCCCCCACCCCGCCACGCCGCACACCCCCACCTTTAGTGGTCTCACTCTCCCGAATGAGAAAGGCACCCTGGGGGTTGCCCGGTGAGAGCAGCTGTCTCTCTGCATCCTTCCTTCCGATCTTCCCGAAGTACCACCTGTCGGGAAGGGCAGGCAGGTCAGGCTCGTCCAGCCCCCAGCAGGCACCTCGCGAGCGGAGACGGCAGCCCTCGGTGTCAGGTGCGGCCGGGTTGAACTGCCAGCACACAGGAGGTGCCCAGCCGCAGCGTGCCCACGCTCTCCATGCCGGCTCTCAGGAACTAAAACCGTTGCCTGCCGGGACACGCAGGGCTCTGGGCCAGCTCTGGAGCTCAGTGGTTTGGCTGGATCTCACGTGGCCCGCTGCGGTTCAAATCCTGGCCCCAGAGGCGTGAAGAGCACGCTGGGTACTGTACACGTGTGCCCCAAGTCACGACTGGGAGAACGAAGGAAAAAGGATGGCAGTGCGGCCATGCCCCACTGGGCACGCTCTCTGTCCCCAGTGATGATACCACGGAGGAGCAGGCATGCCCACAACGGGAGCGGTGGCTGCTGGCGGGCGGGCTGCGTGGGCCGGACAGCCACAGGGTGTCCAAAGCCCAGCCTGCCCACACCGAGGACAGCGCCTGCTCCTGAACAGTGGGCGCCTGGCAAGGGCACCTGCTGGGCTCCGCTCCGGGAGGACCCTGACATGCACGCTCCACGCTCGTGACGAGGCCGGGGGCCGGGGGCTGCCTTCGACCCCCTCGGCAGACAGGCAGGCTGAGCCCCTGGTGGTTAAGCAGCTTGCCAAGCCACAGGCCCCCCGGTGGTGCTGCCTGAATGAGAACCCAGGCCGTCTGCTTTGGGCCTGGCTTCACCGCGACTGCTCTAACCAAGCGCTGCTTCCCAACCCACCCTGACACTATCACCCTCTCCACCCTCCCCAGGCAGAACTCACCCCACTCGAGTTCTGCCCCCGCTGTGACCCCCTTACCCGGCAGAGCAGCGAGCCCGGCACACAGCG